TCACATTATTTTCTTCTTCTTTCTTTAATTCAAATGAGCTTACCACACAGGAATATATTGTTCAAAATTCCATCACACTGCAATCATTCATAAGTATTTTAAATTTCGATGGCATTGATATTTTGAATTGTTAATGGGATTTTATTCAAAATTGTTTTAAGAGCAAAAAATGCTTGTAAATATTTTTTGTGAAATGAATACATAGTATTGGGTGAATTTATTCAAGCAGTAATTTGAAAATGACTCGTTTTTCAAACAAAATGGATCACACGTCTTTTTTATTTAAAATACAATTACAAACTTCAGTGGTTTAAAAATGCATGGGTATCTAACTACAGTGCCTCCCGGTATCCCTACATAAGTGTATACCAATTCAGCAAATTATTGCCTTTAATCAGTTAAACCGCGAGTCCAAGTCTTATCAAGCTGCACACAATACATTCTTTAAATTTGAATACCATGGATCTCGAAAGCTTGTTCATTAAGATTTTTCAACCTAGACAGATCTTAAAAATACACTTCTGGAGTTATGATATGGACTTAAAATCACCCTGTGATATAAATTATATCTGTATTATTTCTAATTTTATTAAACTGAACGTACTCGTATAGAAGCGGTTACATTACCAAAGGAAAAATATGTATATTGGGTATAATTTAACAGAAAGTTTTTTAAGAATACAGTGGTGAATGGGCTGATAGGTTTATGTGTGAGTTAGAAGGATATCATATCTACTCTAAACTTATTTTGTCTGTGCCTAAGTCGCCTAAGTCTCTTTTTAACCAATTATACAGGTTGTTTCATTGATGATAAAACACAGACGTGATAATCCTGAAGGCAAAATGAAACGATTGACCCAAACGTCTTAATAAGTGTTAAAATAAGTCAAATCAAAGAAAGTTAAATGTGTTTTCATAATTTATATGCCTTTATATTCAGAACAAAAATATTTATGCCGTATTTACCTGGGAACAAAGTGCAACTAGCCGCTTTCTGTCGATAAGCATAAAGTATATAGATACTATTTTTGACACGTCTATATTGTCACATAGTATAGTAGTGATATAAGGTTTAATTTCTTGGTAAGGAAGAAATGGCTATTGAAACGTATAAAGTGTAACGTACAATCTCTTAGAAAAAGACTGATCCGTCGTTTGGTTCTTATAGCATGTTCCATATCTTCCTTACCATTATAGGGAAACCAATCAAATATATTATATCACTGTAATCCCGAAAAAACATTCTGTTGAAATGTGACATGTAGTGTGGCCCGTCAAGAAAAAGGATACCTACTTCTTTAAATTATTTTGTGGTACATATTTTTATATACAGGGATGGCCAAAAGTACGGAATAAAATTCATATCTTTTGAATGAGTTAATTTTTTTTAAAACGCCGAAACACGTTAACTGATTTTGATTTTTTCCCATCTTTCGGTTATATAATAATTAATTTTTCTTCAACCCCCTAACCCCCAGCTACCCCTACTTTTTTTTTCAAATGGAAACATAAGGCATGAGGGGGCTCGTTGAAAAGCTTATAGAAAACCGAATCCAGCCATACCAAATAAACAAGTTTTATTTTTTCAATAACAAGTTTTTTTTCATTTAGAAATTGAAACAACTAGATAATTTACAAAAATAAACTCAATGTCGCAAATGCTGAAAATGTCCTCCATTCACTATTTGGCATTCTCCAAGACGATAGTAAAAGCTGTCCACAGCATTCTGAATGACTTCAGCTGGTAAATTATGCATCTCCGCCCTAATCTTGTTCTTTAAATTCTCAATATTATCCGGTCTGTCCTGGTAGACTCTTTCTTTCAAATATCCCCAAAGAAAATAATCCAGGGGTGTTAAGTCGGGGGATCTTGGCGGCCATTCAACTGTACCCCGTCTACCAATCCAGCGATTTGGAAACATTTCATCTAAGTATCTTCGAACATCAATACCAAAATGTGGGGGAGCGCCATCTTGTTGGAACCAAATTCTTTCATTCGGTATATCTGGATCAATTTCATGAGGGAAAATCACAGCTAGAGCAGGTATCAGGTCAAATGTTAGGAAATCCAGGTAGCGTGCGGCAGTAAGATTTTCTTCAAAAAAGAATGGGCCCAAGATTCTGTTGTTGATGATACCTGCCCATACATTAACTTTTTGTGGATGCTGCGTATGCGATTCGCATGTCCAGTGTGGATTTTCCTGGGACCAAAAGCGATAGTTGTGCCTGTTAACCACTCCATTTAAATAAAACGTAGCTTCATCCGAAAAAAGTACGTCTCGTTGAAAACCATTATTGTCGTCACACCGTCTCATCATTTCTTCACAAAATTGTAATCGCCTATCATAATCGTCTTCCAAAAGCTCTTGGACAAGACATACCTTATAGGGGTGGTATTTCTCTTGTTTCAGAAACATTCGAATTGCAGTTCGAGAAGCATCGTGATTGCGGGCCAATGAAACAGTTGAAGTATGAGGATTTTCAACAAGTTCTAATGCAATGTCTAATTTCTTTTCTTCATTCAAAGCACGTGCCCGTCCAGTTTTGGGCAAAGTCTGTACTGTACCGTGTTCCTCAAATTTGTGAAATATTTTACTAACTGTCCCTTGCGAGATTTGGTTTTCGGGATATTTCGCATTAAATAAATCGCGCACTTCAGCCTGACTTCTTATTTTGTCTCCACATCCAAGCAATATCAAGATTTCGATGCGTTGCCTTTCCGACAATACCATTGCAATTCAGTAAATAACTTGATTTTGACACAATAGTAACGTTTCGAACTCCAATTTACAACTAAAGCGAAAAATTAACCAGAAAGCCTGGCAAGTAAGTGGTGCCAAAAAAACGCAACATAAAAAATATATCTTTTTTGCGTTAGCAGTGATAGGTACAGTTTCAAATTCTTTATTTTATTCTGTGCAAATTCATGGAGGATAACACTGAAGATAATTAAATTTTATTTCACTTGTTAAGTAGGTGTTTTATACAACCCTAAAAACCTTGCTATTGAAAAAATAAAACTTGTTTATTTGGTATGGCTGGATTCGGTTTTCTATAAGCTTTTCAACGAGCCCCCTCATGCCTTATGTTTCCATTTGAAAAAAAAGTAGGGGTAGCTGGGGGTTAGGGGGTTGAAGAAAAATTAATTATTATATAACCGAAAGATGGGAAAAAATCAAAATCAGTTAACGTGTTTCGGCGTTTTAAAAAAAAAATTAACTCATTCAAAAGATATGAATTTTATTCCGTACTTTTGGCCATCCCTGTATATATTTATATAGTGTCCTTCTAGATGTACTTGCTGAACCAATTATGATGATCGAGTTTATAATTTATGGCCTGCTGTGATTTTTTATAAGTCGTTAAGTAACCGGAATCAGCACCTGCTTATGACTGATTTTCTGTAAAGTAGTAGTAGGAGAATCTTCTTATTATTTACGAGTAACAGTCAGTAATATCAGTGATTCACTAATTTTCCATCTTCAGAAATTTCTAACATCTCCTAGATTTTCACTTGTAATTAGTGTTAGGTATAAACTGAAGAAATTTGAGATAGAGGGGGTTTTAAATAATATTGATGAGATTGGCTAGTAATTTTCTAAAAACTGGCTTCCAAAAAAATTGTAGCAGCCTATGGTTTTCTAACTGGACTATAATAATAGTTGGTTCAACATCTAGAAGCATACTAAATTTCGTATAAAAAAATTCGATTTCTGTGTACAAAAATAAGGATATCCATTCGAGAAATCTTTGGACACCAAGGAGTCCACCCTGGGGGTATTCATTGATATAGAAGGGGCGTTTGACAAAACGTCCTTTCCCAAAATCAACTTCGGCTCTCATGGAGAGAGGGGTTTCTTCCACCATCTGCAGATGGATATCGATAGATCCCTGCACATCCGATATCAGTGGGCAATGGATAGGCATGCTATCGTTGTACAAACGGAGTTAGCAGGCATAACCAGAGCCGCGAATGAAATTGCCCGCAGGCATACTACGGGCAAAACCATCAGAATCTACACGGATAGTAGACAAGCACTAGTGACCTTGCGTAATCATAAGAAAATGACTAGGACAGTATGGGAATGCCATGAAGCACTTGTTGTGACCTCGGCCGCCAACAGCATATCTGTATGCTGGGTAAAGAGACACGAGCAGTGCTATGGCAATAAAGAAGCTGACAAGCTAGCCAGGAGCGCATCGGGCCTCAACATTTTTCGACCCGCCCCCTCCAGTGTGCTTCCATTGTCGGCACTTGTTGGAATTATCAAGGAAGACACCCACAAAGAATTTATGAAACGGTGGGATGAAACAATCAGCTGTCACTTTGCTAAGGAGTTCTTAGTGTATCCTAGCAAAGACACAGCCAAAAAATACTTGGCTATGTCTAGGTCAAATCTTCGCCTGGTGACAGGTATTCAAACTGGACATTGTTGGCTAAGGAAACACCTTTACAATATGGGGAAGTGTGAAACACCTCTTTGTAGGGACTGTGAACAGGAAGACGAAACGGTGTTGCACTTACTATGTGAATGCACTGCCGTCTCGTCAACAAGAGAGTCCATGTTGGGAGAACACTGGCCTTCAATGGCCTATATTAGAGAGACCCCCCCTGAGCAACGTCACCACCTTTTTCACTGTAATACGTTGGTTGACGGCTCAAGTGGATTGATCTCTCCAATGGGAGGATGTACAAGGGGCCCAATGAGGCCTAAGTGCTGTAGCTTTGCTACCCTCCCCATAATTCCAGATTCCAGATTCCAGAAGGATATCCATTTAAGAAATAATATTCGTTCGCTTAATGAGAATGCCCTACACATAATTCAATATCATCACAAACTGGGTAGAATTTTTAATCATGATATTAAATTTTTTGCTACAACATAATTACAACTATCTTATTTAGTATTTTTCTATAAACTTGAAAATAAAATAAATAAGGAGGGTTCACATTTATAATTGCTATCCCCGTATAATGTTTACCTAAAAGACCTACTTACCCCCGCATAGGAAGGATGTCCTGCTTTAGCACAGTTAGGATCCGGATTGTCATTTAGGAAATGGGCAAAAAATTTCTTATAATACTGCTGCCTAGTTAAATTTTCCTTTTCTTCTATACGTGAAAAATAACATGTCTCACATAAACTAGTGGGATAGTTATGAGGACAGAAAGAACTATTTGATTTAAAATACTTGCAACAGTTTTCTGAGTCACTCCAGTCGTTCAAGTCATCTAACCAAGAATTTGCTTGTACTGCAAGATATGTCCTAAAAATGAGTTACATACGTATGTGTTTTTTGATTTCCCGAATGGGAAAGTTTATTAAAAACAAAGTAAACATAATTAAAAAAGTAGATATATTGAGAATAGTATTATTCATTTATATATTAGAATCCGAATTGTTAAATAGATAGTTTAAAATGGTTACTCACATGTTCGATTGCGTCGATGCCATATACAATTGGGTGCTGATTGAATGTTCGGAACAACCTACTCCACTGCACGCTCTATTCATAATTTCAGGATTAAAATAATCAATTGATCCCTTTGTTACCCAATATACTGGAGCACCAATATTCATTAACGCTTTCATAAACTAAACCAAAATAACATACGTAATTTATAACTAGTTATAGATTAAAGGAAAAATTAATTAAAGTATGTTTTCCAATAAGTGATAATATGGCTCACAAACGGAAAAAGTATTTCACGAATAGGAAATACTCTTTTTTTAATCAAACGTAACTAGTGCATTAAAGTTACTTGCAGAATAATTTTTAAAATTATTAGATATGAATTTAATTATAAACATAATTTTTTGTCTCAATTATATGTAAATTGTACTGTATAAATAAAAAACATAAAAATTATAATTTGAACATAGATTTTCAAATGCTGTCTGATGATATTATTCAAAAATGACCCCCGAAGATTGGTTTTTATTTTATACCTATACATATACCTAACATTCATGTAATATAACTATATGAATTTTAGCACAGGAATTATTAAAATTAATATTTAGAGTTAATTACAATTTTAATGATGGACAATACATTTTCTGAAATAATTATATATGCTCAAGTAATTGATATAGCAATAGACGTTCATACAAAAAATGTTATTATATACTTAGTATGAATTGTTTGCTGTTTTTTTACCATTACGTACACTAAACCTGCGCGGATGACTCTATCGGCAGCAAAGGCCAGCGGACAAATTGTGCCAGCTCTACGTCACAGAAATTGGTGGTTTTTCATTTGAAAAATGTTATAACAAACAGTTTCTTCGTTCGTTTTATAAATTTAGACTTTCAGAGACATTTGCAATATCTTTGGATTTCGTAAAAAAATACATCAACTCAAAAGAATAATTTTAAAAGAAATGTTTCAAATTTACTTTATACGCCATCTAGTTTTATATTGTATTGGATATTACTTGCCTGAAGATATTTCAGGACATGGCTGTCTTCGGACATGGAAAGTTCTTGATCTAAACCCAGCTCAATTGTTGGTATTACCATTATGGATAAACTCAATGTTACGGTAAAAATCAGTAAAATCATATATCGCACTGGCAACCTGTAATAATTCACACGGTGAATCGTATTTTTTCAGTTAAAAAAATTAATGAAATAAATATATTCCTGGTACTATATTTTTAGCCAAATTTATTCTGTAGGCGTAAATTTTCTAAATTCAAAAATAAAAATTTAAGTGAATATACTATTTAATTAATCGTTCCAAATCTACTAAACATACTACAACATTGAAATTTTTTTCAGGCTGAAGTCCGATAAAAAGATTACCGTATGGTACCGAAAAGACATTTATACGAGGTTTGAACAAAAAGTAACGAGAATTGTTAGTTTTCTCAGAAAGTATTTATTTAATTTTCAATTTTTACCCCATTCCCTTCAAAGTAGTCTCCTTATGATATTATACACTTATGCCAACGCAATTTCCAGTCTGAAAAATACTCGTGGAACGCCTCTTTTGGTATCGTTTTCAGCACGGTTTACTATTTTGCCTTATCTCATCTATTGTTGAAAAACGTTGAGTATCCTTTTGAGTATGGGAAATAGGAAAAAGTAATAGGGCCGGTACGTTGTCGTGATGCAAATACACTTGTTAACTGTACGACATGACAGTTAAAATTCTTGATGAACTATTCCATTATAGTCGAAGAAAACGGTTAGAAGGACCTTCACATATTTGACCAGATCTCGCCTCAAATTCGACGTTTTCTTGGCCATGAAAACATTTCTACCATTGATAAACTCGTAGCTGTAACATAGTAGCGTCGTCAAAGGTCTTCTTTGACATTTTGACCGCTTCGCTGCATTTAATTCCGTTTTCAACACAAAATATCAAACTCTGATCCTACACAAAAATCGAAAAAAACTGAGGTAAGTCTTACTCATTCACTTGCTAAACACAAACTACGCTTGGCTGCTGCTTTAAAATGACAGATACGTCACCGACTGTGCTACCAATACACAAACACGCGCAATTTAAAAATTTCCGTTACTCTTTGATCAAATCTCGTATAAATTAAAATATCTACATCACATTGTAAGATAAGCTCTACTGAAAATGTATTATTTCTCTTCTAATTAAACCGATATTGGGTCTCAAAGTCTAATGAAGTTATTTTCTGGAATACCTACACTCGTACATCTTTTGATATACTTATTTTAAACCTGATATAGCAATGAAATGTGACAGGTGTAATTAGATACGTACTTCATTACAAACGGTGTATAGTAATTAGCCCAGAGATTATAGAGGAAACCGACTTTAGGCGTTTTGTCAATCTTGTCCATTTTTATGCAGCACAACATGTCCAGTCTATTATTCTGTTGAAATAGAATTATGTAAATATTCTGTCATTTCATTTCGTCATTCAACTTACCTCGTACCTTTCTTCATCTAACGAAAGCAGCGCCACGAACGCTGTTATTTGAAGGATGAAATTGAAAAGGACAGCGATCGTTGCATACAATGCAAACGTGTGAACAGCAGGCATGGTAGATAAAGAAGCTAAAAGAATTAAGTAACTGAAAATATGTTTATTCTATATCTATAGCACAGTCCCAAAATTGTAGGCATTGACTCAGTCTCAACCTTTAGATCTGTGAGGTGGGAAAGGCGTGTAGGTAATGCGAAATCAATGACGTATTATTTTAAAGAAATAATATGTCGATTTTGATTAAAACTTATAGTTTACAAAAAACTCACCTCGGTATATCCAAATATCCAACTTATTTATACTAAAGTACGAAGTGTGTTCAGAAAATAACAGAACTGTTTGAATTACGCGCTAATGGAGATATTTAGTGATATGCAGTTGGCAGCATTGCGTTACGCATAACCACCTCTGTACACATGCTCTTGGATTGTTAATATCTTATTTAGTTTCCGTGATATTGTTATTTGAGTGCAACGTGTTTAAAGTTTAGTGACAATTTTCTGGAACAAACGGTGCAATGCAAAATTTTAACTCTTGAAACAAGCTTAAGGAGATGTTGCTCTGGGTCATACGCAATGTTATGAATGGTTTTCAGGATTTAAAAGAGGCTATCAGTCAATTGAAGATGATTATTGACCAAGAAGGCCTTCGACGTCAACTGATGACTCCCACGCAAATCGTTAATTGACTGTCAGATAAATTGCAGAAAAGGTTAGTGGATTGGGTCATGCCATAAAATTTTTACTGATAAATTGAACATGCATCGAGTTGCAACAAAATTTGTACCTCGTTTGATGACCCAACCACAAAAAGAAAATCGTGTGGACGTTTGTCGGCAACTCCTTGAATAATCCGATGACGATGAAACATTCATTTAAAAGATCATAACGGGAGAGGAAAGCTGGGTTTACGGTTACGACAGTGAGACAAAAATGCAATCATCGCAATGGATTGGCAAATGATCTCCACGTCTAAAGAAAGCACGTCAGTCTCGATTCAATGTCAAAGTGATGCTTACTGTTTTTTCGACTTTATTGTAATAGTGCGTTTTGAATTTATGCCTGAAAGTGAAACAATGAACTGTATGTAATATCAACGCGTTTTACAACGGTTACGTAAAAAAATCTGCAAAACAGACCAGAGTTGTGGCGAGACAACTCATGGTTCTTGTACTATGACAATGCGACCGCACACTCAGCTTTGTCAATTCGTCAGTTTTGTGTCAAAAATCAGATTACTGCCCTCACCCTCCTTACACGCCAGACTTTGCGTTTTTTAATTTCTCAAATTAAAATCAATGCTAAAGGGACTATTGATGACATCAAAGCAAATTCGTCACAGACCTTAAAGGCCATTTCAATTTAAAATAACCAGGGCTCCTTCACGAAATGGAAACACCGCTAGGAAAAGTGTGTGAATAGGGTAGGGGGGCACTTTGAAAGAGAAAAAGACCAATAATGTATAAAATTAAAAATAAAGTTCAAAAAAATAAAGTTCGGTTATTTTCTGAACAGACTTCGTATGTATTCAGCAACTTTGTCCTCGTGTCAAAGATGACCTAATTTTATTATGGGGCATAACCAATATTTCCCCTAACTAGACAAATGTTCCCCGAGAAAAATCTACATAATGTTGTAACAGTAAGGCGACACAAAATCACTGAAATGACCATTATAAGCAATATTAAAATCACTAATTACTGTTGTCGCTATTACTATTGCTATCACTAACGCTATCGTTGCAGCAGTCGCCTAAAAGTGTAATAAGTGACACTATTATAACTTCAGCTCTTGTATCGAGGTTTAGGACCATTCATTGTTCTTTTAATCCCCTGTAAGTCTCGACTCGAACCATTATAATATATTTACTTTCTATTTGTATTATTGTTAATCGCCGCTCTTTCGCAGAGGGTGCCTTTAATCCCGTAGAAAATTATTCTAAAAATGGTTTTCATCCGCTGATAATATTTAGTTCTTGCTAAATCTTGGAGACCGTATGTCCTACATTTATTGATGTTTCGTGGAGATAATAAATTTTTCTTAATGATATATATTATTTTTTCTAAATACTCTCTTCGCCATACTACAATTTCGTTCTTTTCTACTGGCATAACTTTTCAATTTAATGTATAGTAAAACTTCGAAACAATTTAGGTAATATTTTGTTTTTTCCGATGGCCGTTTGAATTTTCTCTAATGTTGAAAGTTCATTTTTAAAATAAAATCTGATTCTTCCCATGAATCGTATTTTTAGCATCATTGTCAAATTCAATGTTTTTCCTGCTACGTGTTTCGCTTTTTTCACTTTTTATTGTTTGTCATACAACGTCTTTGATCTGCTAAATTCGCTGGTTTGCGGCTACCCTAATTATTAACAGATTGACCACTAACACTATCACACCATTTCATTTTTAAAAACACATTGGAATAACTAAAACGTAAAAATAATAACGTTTTTCCGATTTACACGCATATGACATGAAAGGAAACGCCTATTTTTTTTTTTTACGTTATTTGAGTATTATTTATTTACCGGTCAAAATTACTTGAAATCTTAATGAATCATAAAGCAAGCTCTCTTTCAGTTGTATGAATCTTCGCAAAAAAGTTTTTCAATATTTCAATGCAGTATTTAAGTGTTCATTTAAGTACCTAATAAGAGGAAAATGGTCCATTATCAGAATAAAATGAAATATTAGAAGTACCATAAGAAATTGCAAGCAGTTATTTAATTTTCAAAATGCTCATTTGCGTTGAATCACAAATTTTTGAGGTTATTAGTAATAGTGATTTTCGATATTTCCGCCACTGGTATTTATACCTGAATTCATCAGATTTTTATCATTTTTATCAAGTTTCATATTTCTAAATTTTAGCTGTATGTACCTTGAAAACAAACCATTTCCGAACATTTTTGATATTTTGTTATCCAAATTCAAATTTTGTGTTTGGCTAATTATATGAATGATCCTGAAATAATCTTAATTGATGATACAGCGATTTTGATAATTAGGTAGGTACTCAAAATTTACTTTTGATATTTATGAATTATAATTTTTCCTACAATCTGGTTTATATATAATATAATTACTCTAAATGTTAAATCTGTGATTCTAAGAACTGTTTCTGTTGTATTAGAAGATATTATCGCTTCATGTATCTGAATAATTTGACCTTAAACCTGTCTAAATAAAAAATACATATTTAAAGAGATACAGTTATTACCCTCAGTGTTTACAAATACCGATCTACTTATTACTATCTTTTGAAAATACTTCGTAAAATATAATCAATACGGATAAATTATACACATACCAATTGCGAAACAAAATATTTCCGATAAGCTGGTCAGTAACAAGCTTGGTCCAACTTTTCCCATCGTATCTCCTATATTTTCGGCTGCAGTCAGCTCCACATTCCTAAAAACTAGGGTGTTAGTTGAAAACTTTGTGAATTTTGTTAACTTACTTTTTCTTTCTTTGGTGGGCCTGAACGATAATAAAAATATTGTCTACCCCGACAGCCAGGACTAAAAAGGGAATTACCTCTACTGTTAGGAGAGTGGTTGTAATTCCAACATATCCGCACACTCCAATAGAGCAACCAACAGAACTTAGTACAACTATTATTCCACCAACCGCAAGGAGTATTTTCGTTTCAAGCTATATAGAACATATTTAGAACATTTGTGTATACAGGGTAGGAAAGTACCGACGGTCTATCTGAAGTTACGTGAGAGCGATAAAGTAAGCCATAGAAATCCATGCGATAGAGAAGGATGGCTATAATGAAGGCGTCTCATAGTCACCGCCCGTTTCGCCCTTCCACAAATAAGATCCACTTCTTATTTGTGGAAGGGCGAAATGGGCGGTGACTATTAGACGCCTTCACTATACCCATCCTTGTCTATCAAATGGATCTATATGGCTTACTTTATCGCTCTCACGTAACTTCAGATAGACCATCGGTACTTTCCTACCCTGTATGGTGGGAAATATTATAGTATATGTTCCACAATTACAAATATGAGAATAAAAGAATGCATATGAATATGGAAATGTCTTTTAAAATTATTACATCTGCTTAAATCTTCCTGAAAGTTGTTTTTGCCCAGATATCTCTAAATCTGTCTAAATGGTAACAATATTTGGAACAGAATATTACTGTTATGTTATTAATCTAATGTTAAAAAATATAAACTTGAACTTTGTAAGCATGAAGATGCAAATCTTTCGAGAAAATACGCTGTAGAGAGTTTCTCAAAATAATCTATTCTTGACCATGTCGTCGAATTGATGTAGCTGGACTCTCCACAACACTTTCAAAAACTGCTTCGAAGTTTTGTGTTGAACGAGTTGTTGAAAGACGGCTAGAGTGTTAAGATCACTAATTGATCCAGTTTCCTTAAATTTTTCAATTAATCTCTTGACAGTTAAATCACTATTTCGACCATATTTTGTACGAAAATTGTATGTGTCAATCCTTCATTATTTTCCAAATATTGCTCAACAATGAAAACGCACTATGTTTTCGTGTAGTGCTCCATTTTGAATAACCCTGAACTGTCAGCTCTCAAGCTGTTTTTTTTTGTTGGCAACACTTTACAGCACAAGTGGCACACAATTCGAATCCTGCATGAATATTGGGACACCCATTGTGTAAAACGTAATTAGTGAATACAGTTCATACACAAATGAAGTTGATGATGGTCCTGGAGAGACGAAACGTTACTTATAAAAATTGATTATGTCATTTGATAGAAGGCAAAAAGTGGCCATGAGAAAGTGTTCTTCTTTTTTCAATATCACCTCAAACAAAGCTGAAATGAAACAAAAACGGATTTCCAAAATTTCGGTTTTTTTCAAATACATCGAAAACTAATCATGTTAGCCTTGATTTTTTAGAGGCATAATGTTGGTCCCCTGATTACGCAACTTTGTCCCCATTTAAGCTAGTTTGCATCTCTTACCGTTTCCGAGATCCCTGTAGTGAGAAGCGAATTTGTAACAGCCTGTATACTTTGAAAACAATTGATAATCACATTATTTGGCAAGACATAAAAACTTCCAAAATCGATTGTTAAAAATAAAAATAATAATTTATGCTATTAAAATGTAACAACTTAGAAATAGCATGTATAAGTATGTATTTATTTATTCTCTTTTTTTAATTGCTTACTAGATATTGTTGGTATAATTCAACGCTAATGGGGGCATATAGCCCACAGAATAGTAGTTTCTCGCAATATTAGTCTTATCTGTGGTGTTTTTGGTGCTTAACATTGTTTGACTTCGTTTGATAGAATTCTTTGGATTATTTTTTAAATTTACTTAAATTAATAGGTACCTTTACACTTACGTTCAATCGTGAGCGACTGGAGCGTCCCGTTCCAAACGCGCGTATTTTCGCTCAATCCTGAGTGTCGCGTTCTAAAACTTTGTTGTTAAAAATTGACACGCTCCAATCGCACGGTATTGCCTGCGCGGTGAAATGTGACATGATAACACGGCTAGTGTAAATTGAAAAGTGTCAAGTTTCTCGCGCGATAGTCGTGGCTCGTGGAGTGTTAAAAATTTCAACAGTTTTATAGACGGTTTTGTTCTGAAATGGAGCAAATTATAAACAAAAAATAACATTAAAAGTGGCTTTTTTTTTCTTTAGATTTAATCTTTCATAAAGATGGATAGGATTTATATAGCTGAATAAAATTTGTAATTGTTTCTTTTGACCAATATCGTGCATCTGCCATAGTCTATAAAAAAATACAAAAACGCTTACAAATATGCGAATCCTAGGTAGCTATGTCTATATTAAAAAATTTAAAAAAGTACTTATCGTCTTTTAAGAGTAAACTCCATAAGACCGCGTGAAAATCGAAGTAAACTTTACCCTACGTGAAATGTCCGCATGAAAACAACTGACGAAGTAACGCAGGATTTGACACATCTAAGAACCGCGCGATTATATACATTTACACTAACAAGCTTTCGCGTGTGATTGGAACGGGGCGCTCCAGTCGCTCACGATTGAGCGTAAGTGTAAAGGTACCTAATGCCTTTAAAATAAAGTAAAATATGTTTGTAATCTTTTGATATACTGTTTTTCTGTGTTTTTTTTTTTTCGTTACGCTGTAATCGCTGTATCTTGTTTTGTACAATGCTGTCTTATTTTGTACAAACTTAGCGTTAGATTTCTAAATAACGCATATTCCTGTTTTATTACTTCAAATGGTTTACTGTTTAGAACAGAGATTTTTGGTGCAGGCGGTTTTAAATTTAATTGTTGTCATCTTGAACAGGTTCAGAGATATCAAAATAACTTTCAAGAGCTCATCCTTAGGTAAGGTTGCACATTCCTCATCCGCTCAAGTTGATATAAACAAATTTTTCTCCTATGTTACAAATTAAATTCGGAATACCCTATATATTAATTTTATTGTGTTTCATAAATTACTTACCAATATTTTTTTAAAGCCTGCAAGTCTTCCTAAAGCAATTGCTATATAAACGAACATAACGACATAACTTATGAAGACTGTGACCATTTCAGATTCAGATAATCGATCTATTTCATCCTGTATCGATCTTTCTGCGCTGAACGCAATATCCATAAATTCAGGTCGTTCTTCTATATCCCATTTTTTTAGAAATTCGATAAACCTGTTAAGAAGAGTTTCATATATAATTTAAACAATTATTACAGTGATGTACTAGATAAAAAATTTATAGTTAAAGCTTATGTGGTCGCTCGAATTCAACTTTCTGTTAGGTCAATTTTATTGCCCTAGCTAATTAAATTGTTATACATGCTTACTTTTTCTCCCAAGCGTATGTGTCAACGAGATTTTCTTTATTTAAATCGTTAACAGCTAAAAAGGTTAGAGACACTCCAACTGCGTCTAAGTAATTATTTTCTGTTGAAGCTCCTGCCATTACTAAACCTGGTAAAATGGGCCCTCCATATGGCGCCAAGCAATTTATGCTGTAAGGAGCTCTAAAATACATATGGAAAATTTTTCTTAAAACATTTGGTACCCATTATTGGATTTTATTGGATCTTCGCGATATGAATTTTAGATAGGTAATTTTAAATGGCAAAAAGCAGTCTAGATTAGATATTTTTCTTAGTGTATATAAAGGAATTAGTAATTATTTACTTACTGCAAACATGTAATTAAGGTTTCGAGGTTTGCTTTGTGATCAGCATCCTTAAATAAATTTAAATTATTATTAAACAACCCCAATAATGATATGACGGTGCATTCATTAATTGTTTTATCAGCTGAAAATATCGTTCTGATGGGAGAATAACAAATGCTTTCTAATCCCTTAGTTACTGGAGAGCCATCATCATCAATGGAGTCTATTGTAATCTAAAATTTCAAATTGAATAAATAAAAGCCGTTTGCGCCATTATCGCTTAAATTTTAATTTATGTTTAAATTTTTATAAGTGTTTTAAACATTGCATTGAGTCTAGGAATATACATATACTAGAAAGCTTAAATAAAGTCTTTTAGACTTTAAAGTTTAAGAGTTTTTAAAACATCTATAAAACGTATAAAGAACTAGTTTGCAACTTCAGCACAGCTTAAAATTTAAGTAGTGTTGGTGTGTAATAAATTAAGAGGTGCCTATATTGTATTACTCACATTTTCAAGTTGTTTTTGTAGCTCAAATACAGCTAATAAAAAAGTTTTATTGAAAGCTGGGCCGACTGTTATGTCTCCCCCATAGTTAGAAGAAAAATTGAACTAAAAAAATATATAATTAATATGATTCCGTGCATTTGATTGTTTTAGCATTTATAGTTGTCATGTACAGAGTGATTCACTATATTTTGACCCCCCACATTAACTTTTTTTGATGAAAATGATAGCAGAAAAATAAATGAAGTCCAAACAAAATGTCTGCGGATGTTAACTTTGTTAATTTAAATGGAACACCCTGTATATTTTTAGTTTTTACATATTTGGATAGAGCGTTCTTTGTCAAGCATAGGCATACCAGGTGATTCAGTTTGATATTCGCTGCCTCGTATCGCTTTTATTTCAACAGATAGCTATAACAAACCCTATATATTTTTAAATCGCCGCTCAAACTCTATCAAATGACATTATCAGATCGTCTCCATGGTAACATGTGTCAAAATTGCTACAGTCAATTGTTTTTCTTCAAATGGCACACTATATATTTTTTTATCAATTCTGGAAGATATTTTTTTCTGCGTTCAGCTATATAAGGAAGTCTATAGTTTCATTAGAAATATTGCCAGAAAAACAGCAAAAAGATGAACCCTACTTTCATTAGCTTTATTCTGAAAAATGATACCCAGTGCGGAAACAACTGAATTTTAACGTTTCTAAATAACGGTTTGTCAAAATAATTGACATTTTGTACCTACCTATTATATCTATAACTAATAATTATAACATGAATACTTACAGTAACCAAGAAAAACTAAATATGATTTTAATTTATGGAAAAGGCTGAAAGAACGCTAAAGTTGCCAGGTATTTATAAGTGCCAACATCATTTCCCGCAGAGACAACTTTCATCAGAAAAAAATTTCGAAAAGTTAGCCAGGAATTTGGCGGCAGATGGAAGTTTTCAAAGAAAAGAAGAGTTTTTAAACTCAGAAGGGCAAGAGATGAAGAACATTCGATAAAAATGTTAAATGACCTGCTATGTTACTTTAAAAAACATAATAACTTGTTTCCGCAGCTAGTTATCATTTTTCAGAATAAAGCTACGAAAAGTAGGGTTCATCTTTTTTGCTGTTTTTCTAGCAATATTTCTAATAAAACTATAGACTTCCTTACATAGCTGAACGCAGAAAAACCAGAATTGATAAAAAAATGTATAGTGTGCCATTTGAATAAAAACAGTTGACTATAGCAATTTTGACATATGTTACCATGGAGACGATCTAATAATGTCATTTGATAGAGTTTGAGCGGCGATTTAAAAATATATAGGGTTTGTTATAGGTATTTGTTAAAATAAAAGAGCTACAGGGCCGCGAATACCAAACTGAATCACCCGGTATAGGGTTTGTTGGGTCCATCTCTAACAATAAGCGAGACTATTAAAAAAGGAAAAGAATATTTTTTATTAAGAAAATAAGACATTTTGTAATTGTTAGACCTCTTTCAGGCATTTCTGCCGGGTATTTTAACTAAATCTCACGAATTAGACCGTGTGAGGCCAATTATTCATGGACAATGTTATATGGTAAGTCGTGACAGTGATAGGTAGTAATGTTATGATAACATTATTATTGATTGACAGTTTGTATTATTATTTAATTAAAATGGGTTACACAGAAATAGAAAGTTGAAATATTATTAGGAATTAAAATAGAGTATGGAGAATAACTTACTCTATTTTAATTCCTATAATATTTATAATATTTCAAATGTCTGCTTCTGTGTAACCTATTTTGATTAAATAGTAATACAATAATACAAACTGTCAAACAATAACAATATTATCATGACATTACTACCTGTCACTGTCCCGGCCTACCATATAACATTGTCCATGAGTAAATAGGCCTCTCACGACCTAATTAGTGAGATTTAGTAAAAATACCTGTACGCATTTTGGACTATATCAATGTCCGATATGCCAAAATATACTGCAACTAAATCTAAATCCTTACGTAATTATAAAAGAGGCAGAAATGCCCGAAAGAGGTCTAACAAAACAAAATATTTTATTTTCATAGGAAAAAAAAATTTTTTTCGTTTTTTAATATTATCTCGCTTATTGTTAGAGATGGGCCCAACAAACCCTATATTCCTATGCTCGACAGGGAACGTTCTATCCAAATATGTAAAAATATATAGGATGTTCCGTTTAAATTAACAAAGTAAGCATATTCGGCCATTTTGTTTGGGCTTCATTTGTTTTTCTACTATCATTTTCAAAAACTTCATAAAAAATCGTGCAGCTTTTGTATTTTTTAAAAATTTAAAACAAAAAAGTTAATGGGAGGTTAAAATATAATGAATCACCCTGTACCATTTTGTTATATACTACAGTAGTGATTATTCCAACAATTTTCGTTTTCAGTACCTAATGCAATTTTCAACTGACAATTCAAAAATTGTTTGATAAAGCTGTAGCATACCTAGTCAGGTGGTACGAGTATCTAAAGGTAATAAGTTCGTTAGATGAAAATTAAGAAGACAATAATCAGGAGGAAGGGGGCGTTTACATGCGCAATTTTTTGTTCAGCATTTTAGAAAATCTAAGTAAGTTAAAAACAATATCCCTTCATTGTATCGGTTATGTCAGTGTTTTCTTCAGGATACAAGACAACTGACAGCACATTCAAAATAAAGAAAAAAACATTTTTACCTCGTTTATCTTACGTTTCCTGAATTTTGAACCCCTATTTAACATACAGAATATCGCTTACGGTACTATAAATATAATCACACCCCGCAGAATGTTTTTAGGAAACTATTAACACGTAAATTAATCACAATTATTGAGTATTTCTACAAATTTTCTGGACAAACAAGAAAGCTATATTTTTGGATGTTTACATGTTCTCCGTGATCTTTCAGTGCGAAAAATTAAAGGAAGTTGCTCTGGTTTAACATTACTCTCCGTCGCTTCCTGGATCTACTTGTTCATTATTTTATTAAAGGGTCTACTTATGCTCTATAAAACGCCTGCTTATAAACTTGAAATAAACATGATATAATAGAAAATCTATATAATTTTAAACATTCATATGTATATTGGTCACGCTCAACTTTTTTGTATATTGAATAATGTTCTCATTTTTCTTGTACTAGGAAGAAACTCCATGAATGTCATTTAGTTTGTGAAAACATATTTTTAAACGACTGTGAAGAATTTCTAGTATCTACTATTTTGGCTAATACAAATTCAGTAGAAGCAAACTAAAATAAAAAATCAAACTATACGTACTGATTCAATTCCCACAGACTTAATAAATATTTGATTAGTTCTGTAAAATGGCGAAAAATATTTATCGAAGTAGTCTTTTTCTTGCCTGCTTCTACTGTTTGGAGCGGCCCATATTTCTATAGGATCTGTTGTAACCTTCAGAAAAATGGATCCACCAGATAAACAAATAATAACGATTGATACCATCAATAAAACTTTAATTCTTTTATCTGCCATTGCTGAAAGAAGAAATGATGCTCCATCAAAAGTTACACAAGTAGCAGATATTTCTTATATTCATTACAACAATTCTGAATACACTTTGAGAAAAAACTTTTTTAATATAAAATAATACTCACTTTTCCCTATAGTCTTAAACATATCTTCCAAAAAGTTATGAATAGTATCACCTATGGTTTTCTTATTTTTCTTAGAAGCTGCAAAATATGTTACAGGTTGGTAAAGTTATGAACTTTGTTATCAACACAAGAAAAATTAATAGACTTTTTATGTTTAATGAATTTTTGTATGTTTAGCCATAGACTTTAATAAAATATTTTGTTTTAGAAGGTGTGAGTTTAAATTATGATTTTTTTACTATGTAGAAAGTAATTTAGAATCTTTCAATCGAGGTAGGTATCAGTACTACCGCCTTGCTATTTAAAAAATAAGAGGTGTTACAGTGCGTTGACATTAGACAAAACATCAAAATATATGACTGAACGTTTTTTTTTGTTAATTTTACCGAGGTTTATGGTTGCTCTAAATAAAAAAATTGAAAATGAATAGGTTCTTATATTTAACTACATTAAGCAGATCATTATAAATAAATAATATCCATATTACTTACTATTTTGTTGTGAAAGCGAGGTCCTGGGTCTCAGAATATTTACTAATATAATAACAAATGCTATTGCTAAGACAAGAAGCAATAAACAACAAGACACAATCAACGAAACTAAAGAAATATTTCCAAATAATAAATCTATACTGTCTAAACTAGTATAGAGATTGGTAGGGCAACTTGATGGACAATCTACGCAACCACAGGCTGAAGAATTGGGCTAAAATTTAATATTGTGTTATTAGAATGAGACTAAATGAGACTAAATTAAATATACGTAAATTTTGGTATGAATAATATGATAGTTTTACATGTTTATATATTTATTAAAATCCTCAGTTCAGTTGTGTGACATCGGTAATAAGAACAATGCAACTTCAATATGTGTGGATGTACAGGGCGTGTCTGAAATAAGAGCGTTCTTTGAAAAGGGTGATAGAGGGTACGAAACTGATCAACTTTTATTGAGCAACTGGCGGTCTAAATGCTTCTATTTTCGAGAAAATTATTTAAGAAAATTAACCATGAATGTAAGCCGACTTTGTGCATTTTGTGCACATGCACGGCCAGAATACTTGCTACATGCGTGAAGCGCTTCTCTAATTGGCTGACGTTCCACGTGACTTCCACAATCAAGCAAATCTGATGGTAGGTCGTATGTCTTGTGTTATTTAGTTGTGTGTTGCAGCGTTACTTAGCCGGGGCACTAGCAGATATGGTGCTAGTGTATGGAGAATATTAGTACAATTTAAATGAGACTTGTTGTTTCTATGCGGTCCGTTACCGTAACAGATGACAACCTAACAGTAAAACTGTGCAAAAGATAATTCAAAGGTTACGGGATACTGGGAATGTCCACCTGACATATGAAGGTCGTGAACGGAAAAGACCGCAACATGTTTTCGACAACGAAGAAAACATCATAAACCTCGTTGCGGAAGATCCGAGGCGCAGTACTCGCAACATTGACCGAGAAAATGGGTGTATCTAACAGTACCGTGTGGAGTGTACTCGGGAACAATTTATTGCTCCATCATATACAGAGGGTTCGGGCATTAAATAACAATAATTTTCAACCACGTGTGGAATTTTTTCAGTGGTTTCGGCATTTTACAAGCAAGGTGCCTTTTACAGATGAATTTTGTTATACTATAGACGGCATACTAAATGTTCACAACATTCTCTATTGGTGTGATGCAAATCTTCACGTTGTACAGAGTTCACGGTTCCAGCAACTGTTTTCAGTGAATGTGTGGTGTTTTTGGTGACAGATTACTCGGTTCGATAGTGTTACCTGTACATTTAAATGATGGTGCTTATTAAGTTTTTAACAAACGCCTTACGGGATTGTTGAAAGACGTCCCTTTACAAATTCGTGCCCAAATGTTCTTCATATATGACGGTGCTCCTCCTTATGTTTCTCGTGCAGTTTGTGAATTTCTTACATACCAACTTTCCGGAGAGGTGGATAGGGCGAAACGACCCTGTACGTTGGCCAGTGCGAAGTCTGGATATGAACCCTCTGGACTATTTTGTTTGGGGGTGTATGAAACAAAATGTGTGCCGAACGCCTAATGTCGATGCAGCAGATCTTCAGTAGCGTATTCTAATGAAATTCGACAAATACCGGGAGTATTTGCACATAATGCAGACTAATTTTGACCGTCGTTTGGAAGCATGTTTATTAGCAACTTTGAACAATTTTTGTAGAGCATATCGACTATTGGTAAGTAATTCGTTTAATTTTTGTGTTACTTTTAAACGAGATTTGAATAAATTCAGCATTTACGACCACAAAATTTAAACTGTCAAAACCGCCATCAGCGCTTTCGCACTGTGGCTTGCGGCAACTTTGATATCAAAGGTACAGCTAGCTGCCGCACCAGGGACGACTTTAAATTTTTTTAAACTTTCATGTAAATTTTTTTTTTCAATTTAAAACTTAATGTTTTAGACCATCAGTTGCTTAATAAAAGTTGCTCATTTTCGTGTCCTCTATTACCCTTTTCAAGTAACGCAGTTATTTCAGAAACACCCTGTATCTCAACTTTTTTAAACCCTGTATTTTCAATATTTTTGAAATCTATAAGTTTATCGGATTCTAAAAGTTTAAATGGAATAGGTTTGCTAGATAGGCCCTGTGCTAACGACACTTTAACTTATGATAACAAGAATAATCAGATAACTTTCCTGAAAATTTTATAAAAATGGAATGTAACTATTATCGAATTACAGGATTTAGTTTTATTTTTGCTTAATTAATTAATATACGTAATTACACCAATAATTCATATTGTAAATTAAATAATAAGGTTTACGTACCCAAGCACTATCACACATATAAGTTGTATGATTTATAGCTCCACTCACTGAATCGTCAACTGCGTTATATATGACAAGAAATGGGGCAAATGGATTTTCATTTGGATCGTTCATATAACCAAACCATCTGTAAAATAGTAGTTTATATATTATTTAAGGAACGCATTATGAAAGCCATTATTCATTTTCATAGTTTACCCCATGAGCCTGGAGGATGCGTAAAGTAAACTGAACGAATAATAACCATAACGTGCTAGTTACTACTATACTTTTTCTAGGACTAACACAAATGTCTAGGGAAAATATTTAGTAATTATTTACTATAGCATAAAATTTTGCTCCCTATTTTCGAGGTTACTGAACACAAATCTGAAGTTATTTTTGTGCGGTCGAACCTAGCTTTCTAAAAACTAGAAATCGCCGATGTTTCCAAAACGCTTGTCAATCCGCGTATTCTACGCAAAGCTCCACAGACAACACGATCGAGAGACAATACACAAAATGGCAGACGTTTCCAAAATTCGATCGTCGAGCTGCCAGGATGGGGGAATACCACGCCGAAATGACCAACCACGATGACAAAGCGTGCCAAAGCTTCCCCTGAGATCGTCGACGAGAGATGTGGATGAAGAAAATTTCGTCTAACTTTCGAAAAAAACCGCGGAAAATATTGACTTCAAATTCAACCACCTGCGAGACCTCCGGATCAATATTAATATTTATAATTTCAGACTTCACCTAAACAGCCATACCAGCCAGGAATGCAGACGTCGCCAACCCGAATGAAGTGTCACTAAACCATACCACGCAACAGGAAAATTACCGGAATCCACCCCGCTAACAAGCACCCTGGCCAATTGCAGTTATTCAACTAGGGCATAGAAGAATTCGCAGTGGAACCACTGCATTTCTATCAAACAAGCATAAATAAATCACATACTAAACCTCAACCTGAGTTATTATTTCTCTATAAAAAAAAGATAAATCCGAGCTCAATGTTTTCTCAAGTATACGCTGCAAATCAAGCTTTCGTATAGGCACTCCACGGAGTCCGTACAATGGTGCATAAACTTTAGTGTGTAAGAGACTATGATTTTCAGACACTAGGGTATCAGACCCGCAAAATGCTATACAGGATGAACAAAGAAACCCGAACCATAAACATTTCCAAAGTGCCCAAACTTGGAAAAAAGCGAATGTCAGTGTTTCAGAGTCCGTTTAGGTCGCATCAACCATATATATTTAGATCCTGAACTTCCATCATTCCGTCATTTCGAAATGACGTCAAATGGGAATCAATGGGAATGAGATGCCAGGGAACCCTTTCACTAGCGAACAGACGTATGACCACCCAGAACGACGGTGCAAAAGGACCCAGGACGTTACCATTTCTCCAATCCCATTATGAGAATCTACGATCTTGATGTTTAGAGGAGAGACAAATAGGTCATCTCCACCTAGAGAGCGGAACCGAGCAAAATTCGCATCCTGGCGTCCAACGTGGGACCCGCACGACGACCGATAACCAACTTATCTGATACCGCTACATGGAGCCAACGTGAGGCCTTGTTGCTACATGAAAACCTGACCAATTTGATTACACGACAACAACACTTACTGTTTACAATATTGTTGTTGTTTATAGGTCTTTTCAATCACATGTACATAGAGATATAATAATACCAGGAAAACATATTTTCTGAAATTTGAAGGAAAACTGTATTTATTTTAATATTATATTTACATAATTCCTTAGAATTAAATCAGCCATTTCCACTTCGTTACTCATTGCGTCGTCCCTCTGAAGACCACAACGTATCGCAAATTTATTTCTATCAATAAAAATAGTGTATTGGTAAAATAAAATAAATACAGGGTGTTGGATGTTTTACTGCTTTAATTTTAACAGACGATAGAATACATTAAAATAAACAAAAAACTTTATATCACATGGGTCCTAAACTTAACTATTTTCGAGAAAAAAAATAAAAATCTCTAACTTGAGAAGTTCGATTAATTAAGGAATATTGACATAATTGCGTGCACTTTTTTAAACTTCTTTATGCTTAATTCTAAAAGATAATTAACGTTGTAATAAATTTATAATTCGATAAAATTTATATCGAGCAATGTGACAACGGCGCGGCGGTTAACACGAGGTACTAAGCTGTCCGGCAATACCAATTCAGTTGGTGTTAATATCTGGAATTGGACCGTGTCGGTGTGTTTTTTGCGTACCTTTTCTTGAAGTGTTTTCCAGCTAATGTGCGAAAATTGCATTCGAAGGTATCGTGCGTGCATCGATAATAGTGGTGGACATGTTCAGCATATGTTGTAGTTTGTTTTGTACTTGTGCGTTTAAAAATTACTGAATTTTTCTTTTTGATAAGTCCCTAAATTATTTTTAAAACGTATGGTTATTTATTGGACGATGGGTATCTTTGGGTACTTTCATTACATATTTTTCAAATTCATATTTTGATTAAAAGTTAAGTTCCTGTTTTAAGAGATTCATAATTACTAAAATTCGAGCTAAAATTTAAGTACAACACTATCTTCGTATTACAAAATCGATACATTTTATTTTATTTATTTAAAAACTGGAAAACTTGAAATATTAAATGTTTCACAATAATAGTTGTTTACATTTTTTCCGTAGGACAAGTCTGCTGCGTGCACACGTGGTGCGCATTAGCTGTGTAGCGCTGTTGTCGCGTTGTGATGAAACTCTCCAATATTAATATTCGCTGTATTTTGAAAACTGTTAATCTTACGCCCCTGTAATATAGAACTTTTTTGTTCATTTATGATTATTCTATCTCATGCTGAAGTTATGGCAGTCCTACTTCTTACACCCTGTATATTTATATTCATTTAACTATTACCGATGTTCATTTAGTCTGTAACCTGTTTTTGTAATTTAACGTAGTAAATTAATGATAAAAAAAACTTAACCCGACCTAACCTAAGTTTATACAGACAGACCCCCATAAAAATAACTTCATATTCCTCTCGAAAAAAAAGCGCTGGACAAAATTTTGCGCATTTTTGAGTTTTATGCTATAGTAAATAATTACCAAATATTTAAAGTTAAGTTCAGCACTTAGAACTAAACACTTTTAAGCGTCATAGTTTATTTTAGGAAGAAGATTACACAAATTATAAACGTATATAATTATTATTGACTCATATTAAAAATATATTACTTATTTATCAGTTGCAAAGGTTATTTATTCGATAGCTGTGTATAGAAAATATTTGTAACAATAAAAAACTATTTTCACCTTTCTGTATTACACCAAGTAGCGCCATATTTTCCACAAGCACTTGCTAGGACTGATCCTCCAGTACTAGGAAGAGAGACATCTTTACATGAATTATATATTTTCTCTATATAACTTGAAGTCACATTGACCGTCACACTCGTTACATATGCTAAAATTACAGGTTATCGTTATAATAATAATTTATCTAGAGATGAATGGTTGCCGTAGATAGCAGGCCATTCGCTTTTTATCTAGTTTATACATATAGTAGTCGGAAAAATTGTCAGTTCAGTTGTGGGTTATTATTAGTTCTACTTTAGTTTTCACTAAGGAATAGTGACTCTTCTAAATTTTAATTAAGTGCCCTTGTTTTTGAGAAACGGTTTTTTAAATATTATAATAATTTCAATTTTATTTCATAAATTATCACCAACAACTCTTTAGATATTAATCTAATATTTATATAGTCAGGTTTTTTAACTTCCTTTACAGTAACGGGGCAGTAATGTTACCTTTAATATACTATTGATGTTTTTTTTGTGTTTTACGAATGACTTTTGTGATATTATTTGAAAAGCTCATTCTGTTTATCAACTTTATTACCTCTCACAAAATGTTGGTATGATTCTTCGTTTTTAAGTTAATGTGATTATATTGGTTATCTTTGAGTAAAGAACACAGATGGGTTAGAAATTTTAATACTCTTGAGAAATAAGTTTGGCATTTTTTAAGCCCCTTTTATTAGTTGTTACTGTGAGTGATTTTGTACAGATCACGTGAGGGTTATGTTGTGTATTCAAATATAGAAATTTTCAACATGCGTTTCTTATATGTTTTGACAAGTGTTAGTTCATATAGGGGTTTTCATTAGTTGATCTCTTTGGAGGAAGGAATTATGTTTTACTTTTCCTTCTTTTGTGTTGTGCTAATAAAGTTTTGCAAATTTTCTTAAAAAACTGTAAATTTATGTTTTAAATATTTTACATACAAATTTGCATATCATCTAATAAATAAATAAAGTAGATTACCATCTTCATCTAATGTCCCATTATAGGTGTAATTTTTTACATAATCCGTTTGATTTGGAGAACATGAAAACTGGCAATATGCAGGCAAAATATTATTAATGCATGTTGGACACCTCTGAAATGGAACTGTATTTTGAAACCCTTTAGCCATGGTTATTACTTGATCCACATCACAACACAGATCAACAGGAACTGCAATATCAAAATATTGTATTCTATAAAAAATAAAAAAGTTCTAACTTTACCTTCACTTCCTTCTTGAAAATAGAAACCACAGTACTGCTTTAATTTGGCTATGGCCTCATTATACTTCTCGTGGGTACTGTTTAAAGGTTCTGGTTCTGTTCCGTTAGCTTGAATACAGCTTTGGTAGTGTCCCTTGGAATCTTGGTTGCAATAATGTAGAAAATTGCACGTAGCATTAACATTAATTGATAGTGTTGTTAAAAAGCAAACGATAAAAATGTCTTGAATAACTAGAACAAAGCAATATAATATTACTTCAAAAAGTGAGCATTCCCTGTTATGAGAAGATCAAATCGGTATCATGTAAACTAAGAATTTGGGATGTGATTGCACATAAAAAATACAGGATTGATTTATTTGAATATACAATAATAATGTTCCTATCGGGAAATCTTCATAAGTGCAAAATAAGACGTAATACAAAAATATGAACAGATATCATTTGCCTACGTTCATATGAAACAGGCATGCCTACCATCGAAAGTTTGTCCATCAGATTCAAGATAGGCACAGTTCTAATCGCCCAATATGATGTTTGTGAACACACAAAGAATGGTTTAGGTATATAAAACAGCTCCCCAGTATTCCAAGAAAAAATATCGATTTACAGCTTTACAAAACCTGTTTCCAAACACCTGATTACATAAATATATTCGGTCTTAACATTAAATACAAGTAGGAAATTCGATACCGGCCCTTATTTCTAATCCTGGGATTTCAGGATTATACATAGTCAGTTCAGGGATGCCGAGATTATTTCGATATCGTGAGTTACAAATAAGAAAATCTTGCAGAAATCAGCTCTTTAATCAACAAATCAAAATTTAGACATAGGTAAATCAATGTAATCAAAATTTTGACAAAAATCAAAGTAATCAAAATTTAGACAAAAATCAACGTATTTTCTAACTACTCTAACTAATCAGACTTAGGGTCACTCTAACCAGAAATAAAATCACTGAATCTTTATGTTAAAGTTATTCATTTTCAGAATCAGTGGGATCTCTGTACTTACATAAATTGAAAAAGCTTTATGTAACAAATTATGTAAATAAACTTGAAAATTAACAAAAATCTCTCTTAACATCGACTAAATAGACGTAGGTAGTAAAGTAAGTTTCTTAGCAAAAAGTATTTAAAAATAATATTAAAAATGCACTGAGCAGTGCTTTCGACTGCGGCAGAAAATCGATTAGCGACCGCGAAAATTAAAAAAATACAAAAATGAAGTATATCACCAAGTAACCCAGTGAAAATTGCTTGTCTATCATTTTAGTTCAAAATACATAAATTTTATTCCACGTAAGCATCACAAGCCCGCTCTAAATACAAGACATCTATCAAATATCTAGGTGTAGTGCTAGAGTAATTGAACTGGAAAGATCATAAATTTAGCTACAAAAAGATGCGAGCTGATCCCAATATATTCTTTTATTACATCAGTCATTAGTTAGATCTATTGGCGATTACGATTATATCTTTTATAGATCAGCTAATAGAAGAATACCTCCAGAGGTTCACCAATTAACATTATGGAATCAGAATATACATAACAACCTCTCAGAAGAGAAATGTTAAGTTATAGACCTTTGCTAAAGTGCATGACCAGGAATAATAAACTATTGACTAAAATTGAATATCCATATACTAGAACAACTTAACAAATAAATGCTGGCTACATAAAAAGCTACCTAAAATGGTAGAAAGTTACATAAAGGTACAATCTGTTTGATTATAAAGGCCTCGAGCTATAACTCGGTTACCTATTTTTTAACACCCTGTAAAATATATATACAGGGTGATTCATTAACAATGGGAAAGTCGAAAGCTGAAGATACTATACGTGAAATGGTGACCATTGGCGCAAACATGCCTTATCCGAAAGTTGATAGTTTCGGAAATACAGGGTGTTGAAAGTTAAAATTTTAAATCGTTTTTTTGCGATTATTCTGAAAATATGTAGGTTAGGAACTTGAAAATTTGTGAAACTATATTTTTTTAGGCGACGAATAAGATGCGTGTTGTAATTTCAGCATTGCTCATAGAGGGCGCCACTTACGACCAATTTTACCGAAAATTTAGTTAATAACTTTTTACCCTGTATGTCTAACATGAAACTTGATTCAAAACCTGAAAGAGCAATCATTTTTCCATTAATTATGTATTCTTGTTTCATTTCGGTATCTCGATCCGTTTTCGAGAAAAATCGATTTAACGAACACTATGTTTTGATAATACGAGAAATTAAAAGCGAAACAAACCAAGTGTTTCTTCGTGTTATTACAACAATTAACAATAAAACAAATAAAATACGTAATTATGATTTAAAGTAATTGTTCGAAGAATCCACCGTTGACACTGATACACTTTACACGTTTTCTGAGAGATCTTCGAGTTTGAAACAACATATTGGGATTGCGTCTGACTTCGTTGGCAGCGATTTGTATTCTTTGCCACAACTCTTCACACGAGCCAATAGATTCTTTGTAAACTATATCTTTCATTCGAGACCAAATAGAAAAATCAAGAGGATTGAAGTCCGGACTTCTGGATGGCCAAGCAAAAATGCTTACATGGCCAATCCAGCGATTTGGAAAAACTGCATCTAAATATGCACGCACTGGCCAAGAAAAATGCGGTGGAGCTCCGTCGTGCATGAACCACATGTCTCTTCTTAAATAAAGTGGAACTTCTTCAAGCCGTGGAAGCATTTTTACTTGGCCACCCAGAAGTCCGGACTTCAATCCTCTTCATTTTTCTATTTGGAAGAATCTATTGGTTCGTGTGAAGAGTTGTGGCAAAGAATACAAATCGCTGCCAACGAAGTCAGACGCAATCCCAATATGTTGTTCCAAACCTGAAGATGTCTCAGAAAACGTTGTGTAAAGTGTATCAGTGTCAACGGTGAATTCTTCGAACAATTACTTTAAATCATAATTACGTATTTTATTTGTTTTATTGTTAATTGTTGTAATAACACGAAGAAACACTTGGTTTGTTTCAATTTTAATTTCTCATATTATCAAAACATAGTGTTCGTTAAATCGATTTTTCTCGAAAACGGATCGAGATACCGAAATGAAACCAGCGTACATAATTAATGGAAAAATGATAGCTCTTTTAGGTTTTGAATAAAGTTTCATGTTAAATATATAGGGTAAAAAGTAATTAACTAAATTTTCGGTAAAATTGGCCGTAAGTGGCGCCCTCTATTAGCAGTGCTGAAATTACAACACGCATCTTATTTGTCGCCTAAAAAAATATAGTTTCACAAATTTTCAAGTTCCTAACCTAAATATTTTCAGAATAATCGCAAAAAAGCGATTTAAAAATTTAACTTTCAACACCCTGTATTTCCGAAACTATCAACTTTCGGATAGGGCATGTTTGCGCCAATGGTCACCATTTCACTTGTAGTATCTTCAGCTTTCGACTTTCTCATTGTTAATGAATCACCCTGTATATATATATTTAAATGGGATGTTATATTTTTTTTAATGACGCACATTTTTTTTTTTTTCGTCACACTAGATGAGTGGTGATCCATATTTTTTTTAAATGGGATTATATAATTTTTTTGCATGTTTTGATAGATTTTTTTATCTAACCATATAAAAGGACCACGCAATTTCTTTATGGAATATGGACTTCCGTTAAATTGGTTGGAATTTTGATATGTTATGTATTTTGTCCTTCTGATCAAATGTCTCAATGGGCAGAAACTCCTGTGACCTCAGGATTTTAAGATACAGCTGGCTGATGTTGGAACTATTCTGCACTGGAGATGCGTTCATATGGGTCAAATCTGTGCCATTTTTTAAGTTGTAGGTGTTCAGCGAGGTTTGAAAACACCTCGCAAACTTCGTTAGCAATTAATTGTAGTTCATTATCATACTCCCGATATTATTCTATTATTATTGACATTACGAGTCATAAAACGTCAAAGTTCAAAGTACTTTTCTTTCTGATACTGGACGCCTCACATTGTTTTATAATCTAATAAGCAGCATTAAAGGTCTCATCCTGTCACGTATCGTGAAGTCATTGCAGGTAAGTTTTGGTCATCCAATGTCATATAACGTCATCTCATGCAACACATCTACGTATAACAAATAATGTATGATAATGATAATGTATTTCAATTGCTTACAAAATGATATAATGTGAGCAGATATTTAACTCACAGTAAAACATGATTTGTTCAAAAGGAACTATTACCCTGTGTGACATGAGATGACAATGTATGACCAGAACTTGCCTGCAATGACGATGCATGACAGACTGAGAGTCATGGACCATGTATTAAAAGATTTACATGACAAAATTTGTCTAGTCTACATGGATGATATTATTATATTTTCAACTTCACTTCAGGAACACATTGCAAATCTTAAATTAGTATTTTCCAAATTACGAGAAGCAAATTTAAAAGTTCAACTAGATAAGTCGGAATTTTTAAAAAGAAATGTTGAATTTTTAGGACATGTAATAACTCCTAATGGCATTAAGCCAAACCAAAAAAAAATAGAAGCCATACAAAAATATCCAATCCCAAAAACAGCTAAAGAAATTAAGTCATTTTTAGGTTTAGTCGGTTATTACCGCAGATTCATTAAAAATTTTGCTCAAATTACGAAACCTCTCACAAAATGTTTAAAGAGGAACGAAAGAATAGTTCATACATCTGAATTTAAGGATGCTTTTGAAAAATGTAAATCACTTCTCATGAATGAACCTATATTAGCTTATCCTGATTTTACCAAACCTTTTATCTTAACTTGTGATGCTTCAAATGTAGCAATTGGCAATGTTTTAAGCCAAGGTCCTATAGGCAAAGATCGACCAATAGCGTATGCAAGTAGAACATTGAACCCCGCTGAACAAAATTATTCGACAGTTGAAAAGGAGTTACTTTCTTGTGTAAATTTTATTAAATATTGTCGACCTTATCTTTTCGGAAGAAAATTCACGATAGTGACAGATCATAAACCCCTTCAGTGGCTTTTTAATCTTAAGGAACCAAATTCACGTCTCGTGCGTTGGAGACTGAAACTTGAAGAATATGACTACAACGTAGTGTATAAAAAAGGCAAAGAAAATACCAACGCAGATGCTTTGTCTCGTATTGAAATTAATGCCCTCGAAAATGAATCAATTGTAGCTAACGCAAACCAAAATGACAATGACAAAATTATTACAGACTTTTCAATTGAAAATCCACCAGAGGAAA